TGGGTATATCTGATAAGCTCATATTCACTCACGAGACTGTTAATCACAGTGAGAGCTTTGTGAACCCAGTTACTGGCACCCACACTCAGAATATTGAGTCGACGTGGAATACGTGCAAGTACAACATCAAGATGCACAAAGGCATTCTTGGTGTTAAACTGGATGAACTGTTGTGTGAGTTCATGTGGAAGCACAATACTGGGAAAAGAATGGGCTTGATAGCATTATTTGAGCTTCTTAGGATCCAATAAATCACTCTAATTCATGTTTTTATTTTTACTAAGAAAACTCCATGGGGAGAAAAGGGACTTGATCTAAAACTCCATGGGGAAAAAAAGGGACCTTAAAATCCGATGGGGAAAAAAAGGGACTTGATCCTACATTTGTTTTGTTATTATTCAAAGCATTTATTATTGAACAAATTATTAATTAAGTATGGTTTAAACCATTTAAGGTTAAGGTTAATGTAAATTTCTATTTCATTTAAATAACAAAAATATACATAGGCAGAAAAAATTAACAATGTATTTGAAATTAATTTTGTAAACATATTTATTCTAGTTTAAGTCTAACCAAAAAAATTAAGTTGACTAAATATACAAAATTTTAATAGATCTGATTCAACTTAAACACTAAAAATAAATTTTTTGATTCATTTATTCTTTATAAGTGGTGTTCTCACTTTAATGAAAGTATGAATTTGATAAATATTATCTTATACCTTAAGAACATATCATAAAATTTCATGATAAGAGTTTTAATGTCTCATATCTGCTTTTGGGTAAGAATGTCTAAAAACATCCGTAAATTAGCTATGCTTGATCAGATTTGGTATATTACTTCATGACAATCTGTTTCACCTTATTTTTATCCACTTAACCAAACACGGTATACAATGCAAATATTTCCATAACGGTTTTCTCAAACCCTAACAATCCAATATCACTACTAGGTTAGATGTAACATATACAGTCATATCAACACATTCCACAACCATCTTCTTTCTAATGACATACGTATCTTCTATTTTTGTTGTTCTTACTCATTCTTCTAAATCAGGGTTATGTTATTTTATGCACAGTGTTTATTTACTATTGCTTTAAATAAATTCAAAATAAACAACCCATGGTTAAGGAACTACCACCGCGTAAGCACAACAAGATCGTGACATGGGCCGATCCGATTGCTGAGACCAGGTTGTTTGTGAAAGAACCGTCATCTGAAGACATGCGTGACATACCCGAGGACAGCGAGTATTATGCATATGATGACAGTGAGGAATATGACGTGTTAGAAAATGGAGGGATGAACCAGGGTTCAGGGGTGGCCCAGGTTACTAAGGAAATTGTTCAGGAAGAAGAGGAGCAGAATATTGATCAGGAGGCAGAAGAGGCATTTAATGAGAGCAATCTTGCACTCTACTACGTGCTCATAAAAAACAGAGTTCAACTCAAAGTTCTCGAACAGAACCTTGAAGAGACCAAAGAGAGTCTCAGAACGGCACTTGTTGCACACGATGAGCTAAAAGCAGATATTGATAAGAAGAGCATGCTGCTAAAAGAGTGTACTACTGAATCAGAGAGAAACAGATTGATGTACGTGAAAGCATATGAAACAGTATCTGAACTTACGAAATACATTCAGGTGAGAGAGCTGGCCAAAGCCGAGGACAGGGTGAATCCCGGCATGTCAAATGAGCCAGTGACTCCTCCTAAGAAGAGTATGTCAGAAAGAACAAAAAAGAAGATCAAATATTACATCACAAAGGCGATTAAGAAATGTGGTACAAAACCAGTCCGTGTTACCATTCATAGGCGAAATAAGGCGCCTTGTGTGCTGATGCTAACACGAAATGAAGAAAACAAGATACAAACGCAGGTGATACAATCATGTTAATCACATCCCCAAATACCCCAACACCCCTCTATTCCATTAAACTGTCCAAATTTATCTGAAATATTTTGATTATTACTTGAATATTTCATCCTTTCACATAATTATACCATTTTATTTACAATTTACCCACAAAAGTCTCCTAAAATGCATCCAAAGTATCTTCTAAACCACGACCTATTTTCTGGCTGTGGTACTCTCTGAGATCTATCCAAAACATTCTCTGATATTATGTTACCATCTGATGAAGTAATTACTATTTTCCTAGTCTTATTCTCCACTGCCCATGTTTTGATATGCGTCTCTTTTGATTGTTCAATTATTTCATTTTCACCTGACATTCTTTCTGATCCAACATATGAAGATGACTCTGTATTTTGATCAATGAATTTGTTGCCCCCATTCAAATCCATTGATTCCTTCACTGTTTCTGGTTTATCACCTGATACATCCCCCTTTGTATCAAATGATTCCATAACAGTCGTATTATCAATATTAAATACTTTGTCAAATTCAGTTGCCGAATATGAATTTGATTCGTGTTCTGAGACACATTTCAATTCAACTTGTTCAGGTTCCATCACATTTTCAACAGTGATTGTTTCACAGCTTTCATTGGATTTGTTACTGTCGCCCATTACAGTAACATTCTTAACAGCCGTTACGATTTCACTAATTCCACTACCATCAGAAATAGCAAATTGAATACTGCTACTACCGGATTCAAGAATACTATTCTCTATGTCACTATTCTCAACAGCTACCTCTTCTGCCAAATCACTAATATCAGTTGTTCCAAAACTATCAGAAACACCAAGGTTAATACTCAGTTGAGAATCACTAGACTCAGTAATAGCACTCTCCTTCACACTGCTACTAGTGTGATCATTGCATATATCACTGACTACCTCTCTATAGTCTGTTGATGTCAGGTGTGACTGATCTGTATCATCCCCCTGTAATTCCACTTCCATCNATCAGAAATAGCAAATTGAATACTGCTACTACCGGATTCAAGAATACTATTCTCTATGTCACTATTCTCAACAGCTACCTCTTCTGCCAAATCACTAATATCAGTTGTTCCAAAACTATCAGAAACACCAAGGTTAATACTCAGTTGAGAATCACTAGACTCAGTAATAGCACTCTCCTTCACACTGCTACTAGTGTGATCATTGCATATATCACTGACTACCTCTCTATAGTCTGTTGATGTCAGGTGTGACTGATCTGTATCATCCCCCTGTAATTCCACTTCCATCTCAGACTGAGTGGGTTCAATCCCAGGAGATGAAGTTTTTATCCCTCCTTCATCTGACTCATGCGCAGTAAACTCTGCATTGATGCCGCTAAAGAACTGGATTAATCGTCCTACACGTCCTTTCTCACACAGACTCGGGTCATCCAAGTGCACCTCAACACTGTCACGTTCCAAACTCTCCTCACTCCTGGAATGCTCTACCGTCTTCTTGTTCTGACTCGACGAGCTCGCTGGAATGTAACTGAAACACATGGGGTATCTTTCTCGTTTATTTATATACTACTTATCGCATAATATCATGCATGGAGATGTTTTATGATACTATTTACCTGAAAATATTTTAATATTTGATAAGGGTATTAAAAGAGTATTTAGGTGTTTGAAATGGATGTGAATGTGCTGAATACAATAGTAATGATGTGATATGTAGACACTTGTATACATAAAAGCATATTTGGAAAGTATTGGAAAGATAAGAGTGCAACCTGGTAATATGATTTATAAGGTTGTAATGTACTGGAAATAGCTATGCATACTTAAAACAGTAATGTGGTGGACTATCTACTGTTATTTCTCTCTCTATTTTCTATACGAACAAAATTGCTATGGACCTTTTCAAAACAAACTGTTTTTGCCTAATTTGGTAACTTTTGCAACAATTGCGTCAGGATGTAAATAAATAACATGTGTTTGTGTAATACATCTCGTATAAACACTGGTTATCATGTATTTGCTTCAATATTCATCATACTTGCACTAATATGGTCAATTCAATACCTTGTGTTTTATTGTTCAACCGCACCTCGACTATTTATACGATCTTTTTATCATGTATTTGTGTCAATTCACTGTTTCTACTGCATTTTCCATGCTTCATTAATGTTCAGTAAACATAACCCCTGATAAAAAGTGTTTGGCTCATTTCACCATGATCGTACGAGATTACGCATGGCCACTGATGCCAATAGCTTAGTTTGATAGTTTAGTATGTTGATCAGTAGATAGATGCAAAATATCTACCCAAAAGTTAACTATCAATCATATGAAAATCTGTGAATGACAGATAAATCAAATATTGAGATGCCAAAGAATAAAGATAAGGAAAAACTTATCATTGCACTTAATACACGATAAGATGCTATATATGGTAAGAAGCTATAACAAGAGTATTCTAAGGTTGATATAGAATCCAACAGTAGCGAAATATATTCAGGGTATCTTAACAGCTGAACATATGCAAATCTAGAACATGTGAAGAGGAAGCAATATGACTAAGTAGTATCATCCATATGAATATGCATTATTCAATATCCTTAGAATATTGACATTTTGATTGGTTGTGGGAATAAGAAATGACCAAAGAAAGATTTGGTGTGTAGATAGAAAGAATCCATATGTATCCCAATGAGTATTTTAATAACGGCGAACTAACACGAATAATCAGGGAGTATTGGATGGGTATGCATCTGTATTGGATCACATTATTGACAAAACCAATAGTAAAAGAAACGAATCCATCAGAAGGTAACAAGAATAGTGTGAAGACTAACGAAGAGAACAAACCAGATCAAGGTTCAAAACAAACGGATGAGCAGAAACCAAGAGAAAAAGTTAAAAGGAAAAATAGCATGGATGGTTGGCGACCAACCTTTTCAGAACAAAGTAACATCGATGTTAAAGACTAAAAACATGTTTTAGCAAGGGTTTTTCCTGGTCAAGTGTGTAAATTTTGCAAAACTAATAGTCACTGATTAAAAAGAGTAATATACGCATGAAACACGATAATAATGCATTTTAAATGAACAGATCAATAATAAAGGCATGGATAAGTCTGGAAACAGTTAATTAAGTAAGATCATTAGCTATGCTTCACCTAAAATATTTGATGATTAATGTAATCTTAATCAACCATATCGAGACTTGATGGAATTGTAGCTACAAACTAGTCATTGCTGTTCTTAACTGAATAGTCTTGCTTTACATCACACCCTAGTTACTTATTAAGATACCCAGGTTTTAGTATTTTCCTAAATATTCAAATTTGACAGGTTAACTGATTTGACAACTTATGAAAGGATGTGTAGATCACGACACCCTATTTCTAACTATAAACCACATTATAAAATTTCATATTTGATTTGTNATTAAGTAAGATCATTAGCTATGCTTCACCTAAAATATTTGATGATTAATGTAATCTTAATCAACCATATCGAGACTTGATGGAATTGTAGCTACAAACTAGTCATTGCTGTTCTTAACTGAATAGTCTTGCTTTACATCACACCCTAGTTACTTATTAAGATACCCAGGTTTTAGTATTTTCCTAAATATTCAAATTTGACAGGTTAACTGATTTGACAACTTATGAAAGGATGTGTAGATCACGACACCCTATTTCTAACTATAAACCACATTATAAAATTTCATATTTGATTTGTTTATTAATTGTTACTTGATCCAGATGCTTCATCTGATGGATCCAGTATGACTGTATCTGTATCACTAGAACCATTTTCTTCAGCTTCCACACATTTCTCTACAATGAATTTTGGTGGTTTAATATCGGATAAATCATCTCCATCATTATCTGATTCATGAAATACTTCATTTTTATCCAAAATACACCTTGGAAATATTGCAACTGCTTTGCTTCCAAGATCAACATCACTTCCTGCCTTAGTTGGCTCAGTTTTCTCAAACTTTGGAAATTCTTCATCTCCTTCGTATTGCAACACCAATGTTGTAACTTCAGTTACTAATTTCTTGTATCTTTTTGCACCTTCTTCGCCAAATTTACGTACATGTCTTCTCGTTGGTTCACTGCTATCTGATCTTCTTATTCTTGTGCTAGCATACAACCGAATATTGGTTTCTTCCTTGAATTGAACACTCTGCTTCTCTCCACTCGTTTTCTTAGCTGATTTTTCTTTTATACATTTCTTACCTGTGAATAATCCTGGTTTCATCACACTCTTAGGTACTTTAACTTCTGATCCTGATTCATCATCGCTCCTGCATCGTCTTACTCTTGATGTGCTTTCTTTCTGATCATCTTCGTACAATAACCTGATCATTGAGTAAATAACATTAGCCACGCTTTTAAACAGACACGAAGTCTGTGGCATTCCTTCACGTTTGCATATTCCTATATCTGAGTCATCTATTCTTGTCATTTTTTCATACCAGCCTTTATTTCTATCAACATCACATAACATTAATTTGGCCATTTCAATATTGTATGTGAATGATGTTTTCAGCTGATGGCCATTTACAGTATCCTCTGCTGTAAACTCAACACAAAATACCCTAAATGTCCTATCTAATGCAAACCTAAATCCAATCAACCTATTTGTTACTTCAATTATTTCATTTGATACTTTTCTTCTTCCTATAGTTTCTCCTGCCTGCTCATCACTGTACGGTAGTGTCGTACCACTTGTTTCAACTCTACATTGCAATTTGGTTCGCACCACAAACAATTCTTTACCAATCTTCAGAATGTATTGAATCTTAGTGGTCATAAATTCATATCCATTAAGGTGTTCTGCTTCAGTCAAATGCTTTAGTATGTTCTGTTCTAGTACGTGCTTATAGTGGCTACTTAGATAGTACGTTATTTGAAGTTGCACACTTGTCAAAATGAATAGTATTAATACAAACTTCATATTGATAATTAAGGTGTATATTTTCATAACAACCCACACAAGCTTAAACTTGATCCATTTCTGATCAAACTGATCTATTTCAGACTACCAACACAATTCTAGTAGAATATCCAGCAATAAAAAAATCCAAAACAAATTACATAATATTTTGGTATCTTGCTTATTACGTCATCAAACAGAGCAAAAATTGCACCAATGGCAGTCCCAGATGACGTCATCTGTCTCAGATTGTTTGAGCCGTTTAAAACAAGTTTGTTTTGTTTTGCATGTTCATGTTGTTGACTAATTTTCTATGGAATATGTTTACGCTAGTGGTTGAAGCGCTCTTGCTATGCCACGCGTACACCATAACAGCTACAGTCGTGCAACAGCTGGCAGCCCTGTGGCCCCAGTCGAGCGAAGTCCCAGCTGCAGATGGGAACAGCGAGATCGACCCAAAGGCCCCGCCTGGTGATCGAACAGGCCCTGAGAAAGAAGTTGACAAGAAGAGCCCTGATAAAGACGTTGACAAGAAGAGCCCCGATAAAGAAAAGGATATTGATAAAAAGAGCCCTGATAAAGAGAAAGACGTTGACAAGGCGACCCCTAATAAAGATATTGACAAGAAGAGTCCTGATAAAGAAAAGGATATTGATCAAAATACACAGAAACCAAAGGCTACCTTCAATGACAATAAGGTGATTCTTCTGGATGACAACCTAAAGGATCCAGTCTCTGATAAGAAGCTGAAAATGAGAAAGAAAATAAAGGCTAAGGCAGCTAAGGAAGCAGCACGTGCAATTAGACAGGCAAGGGAGAGAGCAAATAAGGACAATAAAACAGCAGCGATGTTCATGTGCTCCTGGGATGGCCAAAATATGAAGATTGAGGCTTCACCATACGTCTTCTGGAATGGAAATGCGCCTATTACAAAGGCAGCACCTGATTTGAGCAAAGAGGAAATAGAGCGTATCAGCGAAGATACAAGCGAAGCACTAAAGAAGTTGATATCACTGTCAGGTGAAAAGGATGAGGTGGTTGATGTAAAGGTAAAGAGTGAGGTGGTTGATGTAAGTGTCAAAAATGAAGTAGTTGATGTAAAAACAAAGAATGAAGTAGTTGATGTAAAGGTAAAGAATGAGGAGGGTTCATCGATGCAAAGGCTGTCGGATCCAAAGCCATCAGAGCATCCTCTTCCAATCCATCACCGTCCCATTCAACATTCATCTACCAAGGGGTGTAAAAGAACACCATCAGAGATCTTTGTTGAGAGAAAGGCATTGTTGGCCAGCTATGAATCTCTTCAGAAGAAAACCCCAGAATCAACTCAGATTTCTAAGGAGAAGCCAGCACAGATAGTAGTTGTACAAGGCCCAGCCCAGCCTACCGTACAGAAATCAATCCGTGCCTGCATCCTGAAATCAAATTCGATGTCTCCACAGGAAGTTGCTCGACTATCTCCATCTAAGGAGGCTGATAAGGAATCTGATAAGGTGATTGACAAGGTGTCTGTTCAGGACTCTGCTGAGACATCACAGCAATCAACAGTGTCATCTAAGTCATATGATGAGCCAGGAATGTTCACAAGTATGTGGTATAAGATTATAGGATTGTGCTGTTGCATAAGCACAGTAGAAGACGAGATCACGTACACAACGGATGAATAAACTAGTGGAATGCGTTTTAAAATAGATTATTTTACTTTTAGTTTCCATGAAGCAACTTTAATACGTTTTTACCTAAAATATGACATGTTGTTGCATAATAAGTTTTAACCCCATATCTAGTGCTATTGAATTACTTTACAAAGTGTATCTTGAATACTTCGAGGAATCTGAGGATGAGCTGATAGCAGAGGCAGGAGCGAAACGAACCATTTAACGACGACCAAGCCAATGCCTCCAAAAAAACCTCAAAAACGATGGGTTTGGCGTCTTAATGGCTATATGAGACATGCAACGCGATCCATCCGTGGCAGAAAATATGGGGATTTCTATACCCAATTTATATTTGAAACGGTTTGTTTAGGTTTGTTATCCTTACCACAATCACAACTACTGTTGATACAGGGTAATCTGCCGATTTTGGTTCCTTAAGCAGCAACTTTCGGTCTAAAACTAGGTGTATGGGTATTTATGCGGGTAAAACGATTCATTACAAATGTTTCAGTGGAGAAGACGAGGATTATCTTGTTTTTGATGCTTTATATCCATTCTTTATACACTAATTTGATGGTTTCAGGTGTTGTAGAGTCGCTCTCTTGTGTATAATTATGTAATTCAATTCTTATGATCGGCTGTTTATAGATTATTCGTTAGTTTCTTGATGTGCCATCTTTCTTGCTTTAAAGGCAACATGAGACAATAAAGTATCTTAAAACAGGCTCAACTTATACCGACCGACACTTATAATCCCATCTTAGCAGCACAATCCATATTATACATGTATTTATTTTCATATTGTTGCAGTACCTGTACCAATATTTTTTCTATTTCATTCATGTGATCACTGATGTTGAGTGTTTCCATTTACTTTCAGTTTCATGTATAGAGAAAACATACCACTTTTTGAATATGCCCAATGTTCCGTTACTACTCTTTTTATCGCATTATGATATGGTTTTATGCTCATTTACATTCTTAAAAAACACAAAATGGCATTTCGAGTACCGATTTGAATTTATTTTGTAAGTTTTTAAAAACTATCCTATTTATAAGGATTTCAATTACTTAACACCTACTGTATATTAAAAAATCATGTACTAAAATTTTTTATAAATATTCAAAATAAAAGTGATTCATTCTTTTTAGCAACAGGGATAAAACAAATACACGAATTACACTTTAATAAATCTTGTTTTATCTTCACAAAATTATCTATTTAGTATATATTATACTTACTTAATTTATTTTTAAAAAGATATGTGTTGTCACATTTAAAAGAAAGAAACCAAATAAAACTTAAAAACTAAATATACCAATGTATACTGTTGAATTTCTTTAATCCAGAATATAAATAATATCATAAAGGAATGTTTATTAAGATAGCAGATTTATGTATCCCGATTTAAGGTATATAATGATGGTATGGATTAAAATAAAATAAGTTTTTTATTTTATTTTTATAAGATAAACGCATATACGACTACATTAATTACATAGAAACTTTTAGCAGGTACAGCTCAAGTTAAGTACTAAGAATAAAATATTTTTAATGATTATTTTTAAATCATGTATGTAACTAGATTTTTGTGATAGATGTTCTCAATCCCTATATGCGATTTTGAATGATATTGTTATTAAATAAGCTATGGTTAGATTACAACAATGCCACATCACGATTGTGATATTTTACTTTTATTCGAAGTATATTTGGTTTGTTGCTTAAAGCAGATATTAGTGTTAGAATAAGCCAGAAGTATTCATTTTAGTAACAAAAAATACAGTACAATCTATTACTAAAATCCAATTGATCAATAGCGTACAAATCGAAACAAGTACATATTTGTATTTTTATCATCCGTAATTTTTGTTTTTTTGTGAAATACTATTGACTTCTTGTTATGATAGTGATTAAACTTAATAAACCGCCAAAAGTATTATAATAAACTAACCGTTTTAGATATATTTATATATTCAGTCAAAACATTTTCAGTAACTTGTCGCAACAAAAATTGATAATAAGACGTAAAAGGTTAGTAGAATATACCAAAATAGAAACAACTAACAACTATTTTTTCGTTTTCACTAATCTTGTAATACTTGATCTTATCATATTACATAAAATGACATGCTGAAAAATTGTTTACTAACATATAAAAAGCAAGATGTTGATAAAAAAAGCAATCAAAAACAGAGTATCATCAAAACCAATATTGTTATTTTAAGTTTTGGAAAATAGCAAAATACATATAAAGGACTTGAATAAAATAAATATATTTAGAAAAAACCTACATTATCAACAACTATATGGTTAAAGTTTGTGATGTCTTTAAACTACTAACAGTAAAATATTTTAACATCAAGTTTGCTTACTTGTGATCTTAAGACAAACATAATGTTGGATTATAATCTAAAGAAAAAATTAAAATATTATGGATACAATCTAAACATATAGATTATAAGAGTGGTAGTCTTATTGCAATACTAATTATATATTTTAATTGCAATATAAATAAATAGAAGAAAAAATACCACCTATTAATTGACTATATTATGTTAAAGATATTTAAATAAAGTTTTAATGATTTGAAGCCTTGAGAATAAATCTTTTAAATTACATAATATACACGCATGTATTCCATTTAGATATTTATTCCATTTTTGTTATTTTGATAATTTAAAATCTACTCCTATATTGGGTAGATACATTACTACCATAATCACCATGGTAACAATTATTTTGAAATAGTTAGTTTTGTTCTTCTTGTATTTAAACGACGTAAATTAAATATTAATGTCAGTAGCACACTAAATCTAAGTCTCTTTTAAGTTTGATCTTTTTATATTTAAAAAAAGACTTAGATTTAACACAAGAAAATATAATTTCACCAAGATCAATATTTAAATACAAGAAATGCTTTAGCATGCTAATTAATTATTTAAAGTTTAAGTATAAATAGATATTTGATCTAAAGAATTGTAACAAATTATATGATTTAGTATATGTCAGGGAGAATTAATATGTAAGGTAAAACAAACAATTTTCGAAAAATATCTACAGTTCAGTATTGTTTAAATAAGCATCTTTATATAAATAAAAATTACATCCTGGTATTTAAATTGTATATAAAGTAAGAAAATCTAAAATTAAAAAGGTCTACAAACCTATAATATCATATTAAATTATAATTCGGCATAGTAAACTCTTTTTCTCAAATTCATATAATGAATTGTCATAATCTAAAACAAAATATATTAATAAATCAGAAACGTTAATAAAAAATATCAAGGTGCAACTTTAATTCATTTATAAATTTTCTAATACCTGTTTAACAATAAAAAGTATTAATGTCCACTTTTCATCTTTAAGATGAACGTTCGTGAATAACTTTAGAGTGTATTTAGGTTTATACTAGGTGATATTTAGATTAATAATTAATATGCGATTTGATCATAATATAATATGTTTAAAACATTTAATTTTTAAATTTTAAAAATCTACTAGATCTTGGCAAAAATTGTTACGATTTCAGTAATACTGCAATGCTACCGAAAATAACTATATTGAAACACGAGATACAATACAGTTTTTAATTTATTTGCACTATATTCATATACAAAAGTGAAAAAAACTTCATAAACTCAAAATATTTATTGTGTATCTCTATTATATTTACAGTATATTAACTACTTACATCTAACAATCCAATTTTTAAATGTTATAATAAATTGAGAAATATATAGTTTTTCCACTCTTTAAACATTAACTATAAATTGCATTTATAAAACTATTTCATTATACTTGTTAGACCGAACAATACATTGTCATTTCTATATATTTGATTGTTAACCAATAGTAAGATATGGAACATGTATTTTTCTGCAAAGTACTAAAAGTTTCTTAATGTTTTATAAGCTTATAAATATTAAAAAAATAGCTTATTTCTTTTTATATACATACATAAACACGATTAAATATAGTTTAATATAATTTAAAACCTTCAGATAATTATTATGTGTTTTTTGTAATAACTTACATAACTTTATATTATTATGGTTTATAATATACGCTGTCTCTTCTAATAGCAGCCTGTATTTTACAAAAAAAGTGCAAACAAATAAACAATTTTTTGTTATTATTGTACCTATATAATAAGTATGGTTTGAATAAAATATATTTGTTTGATAAACACTTATTTATTTAATCGTTGACTTGCCATATGCAAATCAAGGGTGTTATATTTCTGCCAGAGAATTTGTTTAATGTTATTTTTAACAGGCAAAAAAATGTTGAGTAATATTGTAAGTGTTCTATTTACATTAGTTATTTGTTCTAGATTTCCATCTGAATAGGATACAAAGCAGAACTACTACGATATTTCAAGTTATGCACTAAAAACAACTTCTTTTTAAGGAAAGTTAAAAAATAATTGTTTTAATGTGTATGACCCATGAATATATGTACTTTCCTAAGATATACTAAAACACTGTATT